TTTCAGAATGAAGGCCTGGGCAATTCACAGCTGCCTCCCTACACTCTCCTGGCCCAAGCCGAGTTCGAGACAGACCCCCAATTCTTTCCACAATGCAGCCATTTCACCTTCCATCAAAATCCAGATTAGCCTCTAACAGGAGAGGGATGCAGGCCTCAGCCACCCTCTCTCGCCTGGGCTGTCCTGGATACTACGTTTCATCCGATTATTGATGCTTTCCAGCTACATGTTGCATCTCCTGGCATATTAACAAAGGTCCCACAGCTGAACACGCTTTGCAAAATGTATCAAAGCCAGGAGGGGAAAAAACAAACAAACCAGGTTTCCACTAAGTGTCTATCCTGTTATTCCAATACAAAGCGGGTCAAAACACACACCTCTCTTTGTTTTTCAACAATTTCCCCTTTCGGCTCTCCCATAAGCACGCAGTTGGCTTAATTTTGTCTCCTTTCTTCAAAACCCAATCCAAAGACTGCCCAAATAAATTAAAAACCCATCGGTCTGACAGGTACCTGGAAAGGAGACCACTAAGACAGTGCAGTGAGCCGGGAAGGGGGGGGTTGTGTCCCTTCAATCAGCAGCAGCCAAATTCCGCTTCAAATCCACCTTTACCTAGGCAGTGTTTCCTGGCAGGAGACTCTGAGGCTAGTTTAGCCTGGAAAGGGGACCACCAGGAGATGCAGAAGGCCTTCTGCGTGGCTGGGGTTGGACTGGCCCGCTTTTTCCCGCACAATGGCTCCAGTAGGAAGCAGATGTCAGGCTTGTTCTGGCAACTTCATCCAGACACGATTACCCAACTCAGCCTTCCTTCCACGTGACGGGCAAAGGTTTGGGAGATGGACTCTGCTCCAGCCGGACGCAGGTGGAGGAAGGGCCTCCCTGGCTGAGTTGCCTGCTCCCCAGAGAGCAGAAGGCCGGGCACCAACCTCAACCTTTCGTAAAAAAACATTTGCAAATTTTGCACTGCCATCTTGCATCAGAATTAAGTCAACAAAAACCTTTCAACCAGCGAATCGAACCCAGCACTCGAAGCAGCATTCGCACACCTACCGACTGCTGTGTGCCGAAAGCCTTTTTTAAAAAAAATATTTTATCTTCACCCCAACCTGTTCATGGGGGGAGAGAGAAAGAGCTCCGGTGAAAGCCATAAAGCCATAAAACCACACAGGGGGCAGTAAAAAAGCTAAAAGAAAAAAAAAACAGGCTGGAAAATTGAAAATGGAAGAACAAGCACATTTTGGCTGGTGGGGAGAAAACCATCCATAAATCACTCCGGAGCCTTTTCTAAGTACAGAGGAATTGCCTGATCTCATTTCTGTATTAGAGGGGAAATCGGGCAAATAAACTCACGGCCCATTCCAGCAAAGTGGTTGCATTGGTAAGCTTTTAGAATCAAACCGAAGACGTGCAAAGCCGAAAAAGGAATTAAAAGGTCTGTCTGAGCTGGCATTTGGGGCCCTTGACGTGCAAAGTCCCCCCACCTTTCCTTACTGTCAAAAGAAAGACAGTTTCAAGTCACTTGAGAGACAGGAAATAAAAAAAAATGGATTATCCACCCAATTCGGAGCTCAGAGGATGGAAAAAAGGAAAAGCAAAATTGACTGATGGGGACGTAAACATAAATTGCAGCATTTGGGCGCCTCAAACAGCATCACAACCTCGGCTCACCCACAGCGGCGTGGCCTGCATGAATAACGCAATCCGTACAATGTGTGATTGTGCCAACAACACAATCCTTCGATTCATCGGCTATTGTTCGGATGCCACTTGCCACAGCCCATGGGAGTGAGGTGTTAGGCCACACACACAAACACAAACACACACACAGCTTAAAGGAACTCGTATTCTTAAGCGGGAATCTTGGTTTAGGAACTCTTAAGGGAACAAACAATAACCACGTTTGGTTTGAAGCCTTAATTCGCTTCCCTCCTTTTTTTGGCAACTTGGGATGGCCACCCTCAGCCCGCCAGGCTGCAAGTGTGTTCTGAAAGCAGTGTGTGTTTGTGGGTTGCCTCACCACTAACCAGGAAGGTGGATTTCCCAACTTATAAGCTGAAATAAAAACTCTGGAGATGAAATTCCAGAGTCGTTCCAGGTCAAAAAATCTGACTTTTTTCCCCCTGGTTTTGATAAGGGACAAGCTATATATTACTGTCCTCATATTCTCAAAGCAGACCTGAAACCAATAGCCATATTGAAGAATATTTATTCAGTTCTGAGGTGGATGTTGATCCTGTTGGGTAATGAAACATCTGCAAACAGCCCAGCTCAGAGACACCAAGATCTCCACAATATTTATTTATTTGTACATATACATATATTTTCCATTTTGTGCTGGCTGACTCCAGAGTGACTCACAGCTTACAGAAATGTTCCATAAAAAAGGGACAAGCAAGCTGCAGTTTAACGGAAGGCTTGTCAAAAGCCTTCGCCAACTAGGCGTGACTCCTTGCCTTTGGGACTCCCTGCTACTGGAAAAACCTGCCAGCAGCTTCTTGAACGCACATATAACAGTCTTGGCCCTGCTTTAAGAGTCCCGGTGCTAGAAACTGTCACCAAGAAACGAAGGAGTTTGCAAATAAAAGGAGAGGAAGGGAAGCAAACAAAACAAAACAAAAAAGGCAATGAACATAAAAATTCAGAGAAGGCTTCTGTTCCTTGTAAAATCTTTCAGGCGCCAGGGTGCAAACAATGCCTGTTTGTTGACACTGCTCCTGTGCGCTGGAAACAAGCTTACAACATAACAACCCGTTTTCAACTATCCCGGGGACAAAAGTAAAAAGGAACTTGTTTAGAAAATGATGTGGGCGGCACAGAGGAGGAAGGCAGAAATCTGCCGGCTTTTTCTTCCCAAATGTTGGGGCAGGTGAGGGGTGTCGGCCCCACTTAAACAAGCCAGCCCCAAAACACAAACGTGTCCTTCCACGGCTTTGAAGCAGGTCAGGAAGGAAAGAAGAGAAAAAACAGAGGAACAGACGCCACCATCCTTCTTCGCCAATCCACGCCGGCCTCCCGGAAGAGGGAGGGAAAAAAAAACCCTTTTCAAATCCCCTTCCCTCACCTGGCCCTCTCTTCAGGAGTGTCAAGACTACAAAAACTGTCATTTACAACCAGAAAAAGCAAGAAAGAGCCATTTCCCAAACAAAGCTCTGCACTAATTGTTTTTCTTTAAAAAAGTTTCCTCTCTTAATTCAAAGGAGAGTGCAGCACAGCGCCTCCTAGAGGAAACGGGCTTCCTTTTCCACCGGATGCCAAAACCATCACCGTTCCCAATCCTTGGCAATGGCAAGCCAAGTTTTTTTGAGTTCCCTTGAGCAATTCAGGTATCTGCATTTCAGGGGTGGCCAATTCCCAGGTCTCCATGCAAAGAGATCCAGCGGCGGGACAATCCCGGCGGAGGAGCAAACACAGAACACAGAATCCCAGCGGTGGAAGGGACCTCAGAGGTCTTCTAGTCCAACCCCCTGCTCAACGCAGTTTCTCTACCGGAGGAGTGCACAGTTCCAAGCTGGGGCCCCTCCCCGCAGCCTGGCCTGGTTAAGTGGGGGCTGCATGCCAACTGGGGAGGGAACAAGAGGAAAAACACACCCTTGTTTTCTCTTCTCAACCCTTCCTCACCTCAATCTGAATTTTGCTCCACGCCTGAATCCGGCCGGGAAGCGCAGCACGCAGGGCAACCCTGATGCGCTTGGACGCCAACCTAAATGCCAGCCGTCTCGGCACCTGGCAGGCTGTAGGCGAGGCGTCGGCGGGATCCTCGCCCTGCTTACAAGCCAGCTGATCGGGGCTCCGCCAGGGAAGCGCCCCTGGACTCCAGCCTCTGCTGCGAGCATCACAACGAACGGCTGCCGCCTGATACAATCGCACACTCCCTCCAAGCCAGAGCAGGGGAGAGGCTTCCCACCCCCAGCCACCCCCTCTGTGGCTTGGGCAAGGCTTGAGCAATTGCCCGGAGCACCTGGCTGGTTGGTCTCTCCGCTTGCAAAGTTTCCACGGAGCAGCCGGGCGGGGTTCAAAGGCAGCTCGGCCGGATTCCTCGGCATCTCGGCTCCAGGGTCGACACCCCCCCCAAAAAAAATGCCAGCTCCCCAGAGGGTGAGGTTGCCCCCTTTTTTTGCGGCTGAGATTTCTCTTCACCAGGGGTGTGTGTGTGTGTGTGTGCAGCAGATCAGCAAGACGCTTTGGTCTAGCTAGTGGTTAAGGCACTTCGGCTGGAGATCCGGAGAGGTGGCGAGTTCTAATCCCGCCACAGGCACGAAAGCTGGCCTAAATCCACCTGACAGGGTAATTGTTGTGGGGAAAAGAGGAGGAGGAGGAGGAGAATTAATCACGCCTGCTGCCTGGAGTTAATTACAAGAATACCAAGGAGAGATTAACAAGAATAAGAGTAATAATCCACACATCTGCCCCTCCCAGGTCCTTGAAAGGACTCAATGGGGATGAGGAGGAAGAGGA